ATGTGACAAGGATAAGTATCCTGTCAACTCCGTTACATTTTCCTCATAATCATTCTCCAAAAATTCAGATCGTAGTTTTGCTTTACACATGGGTCTTTACTCTTAGTGTACAGCAGAATCATCTGAGAAGAATCAGAGAAATAGTACAGCAGGTAAGTTCTTTGCCTTACACATAGCTAACTCAGAGTTAGTCCCTACCACTGAATAGAGTTCCCTGAGCACTGCAAGGAGTGACTGAATATGGAGCCAACAGTAAGTCTTAAGAACTGCCAGTTGTGGCCCCCACAGAAAAAAAAATTATCTTTAGATTCTTGATAAGTATGAAAATAGTTGAGTTTCAGCTCCAAATATTCTGTAGGTCTGGATAGGGGCATAGAATTTTTTATAATTTATTTATTGAATCACTGTGGGAAAAGTTACAGAGCTTTCAGGTTTAGGTCTCAGTCATGTAAATATCAAACACATTTCCCTTTACCAATAATTATTTTTTACCACGAACCCCAATAGAACCCCACCTCCCACCCCTCCCAATTCCTGTGAGGCAGATGAGTTCTAGTTAACATTCTATCTACTTTGACTAGATTCATTGTTTCGATAAAAGATGCACCATTATTATTTAGAGTTTACGACCCCTCCCCCCCCCCCCCGAATCAGACATGCTAAAAAAGCGTTGTGAAATGATTTGCTTTCTACAGCTGGGTTTAAGAATTAAATGATGCTATTGCGGCCGCGCGGTTTTGGATTTCTGCTATTTTACTTATTAACCCTGGAAGTATTTCTATTAAAAGTCAGATAATTAAGATGTTGGTTTCTGTGCTCTGGAGTCATGGCCGTGCCGGAGAGCCGCTCATGGGGGGCAACTGGTGACCTCGGTAGGGCGTGAAGGACAGACCGGAACGCCCCCCTTCCCATGAGGTTTTTGTCGCCCCCGACCCCCGGCTCAAACCTGCTGTACACAAGGCTCCCATGCGGTAGCCATCTTTCTTTCCTAGAAATCTGAGTTTTTAACAAACTAAATGTATCGAATATTGTCATGAAAAGATCACATTTAGAAATGGTGTCCGCAGAGCTGGGCAAGTGGACAAATAGCTGAAATCTAAATAACATCTATGTTTTAATGAATATTTCATTCACAATGTTATTGTCTTTTGAGAAATGGGCTATGCTGATGTAAAACAGTAAATGTCTGAGAAGCTGGTAAAGGGTATATGGTAACCTATCTATGCACCTTCTCAAAAAATTACTTAAAGTTTTCAGCTTTGAGGTTCTGCCCAGCATTTCTTAGCGCTTACTCCTGTCTGTACTCAGGGATCACTCCTGGTGGTGCTCAGGAGATGATATATGATATCAGGGATTGAAGCAGAGTTAACTGTGTGCAAAGCAAATGCCTACGCTCCTGTGGTCTCTCTCCAGCTCAAAATCTAAATTCATTTCAAAGCAAAAGTTATACTTCATTGATCTGAGACCCCTTAGGGCCCTCACACTAACACATCCTCAGGCCCTCACACTGAACCACTGGTCCAGTTAGCCGGAAAGAGCCCCAGATATTCTGAGCAATGCTTGAGTGCTCCCCCCAAATTCTCTGATCACAGCCTATCTATAATATCACATTTCCCTCTGTTGGGTTCCTAAACTATAATGAAAACTCTTATGATAGCAAAGATCCTATTTGTCTTGTTCTCCATTTATACACCTAATTTGTTGAATATTCCAGGGAACACAAGGGGTCTAATAACTATTTGTGAATGCATGAAGGGTCAAAAAAAAGGTCAATGAGCACATGATTTCCATGCAGGAGATCAAGGTTCAATGCCCAGTACCATATGTCCTTTAAGCACACGACCCCAAGCACCAAGCTGAAGGTAGCCCCTGAGAACTGCTACTGTGACCCCAGACACAAAAAAAGTTCATGAAAAATATCTTTTTTGTTGTCAGTACCATTGAAATAACATGAATGTATTAAACTCATTGGAATGTAGGTAAATCCTCAAATTTAATTATTATCCCAGAAATCACAAAGGCTATATAAAACATATATTTATTTCTTCTTCACCCACTTGAACATGGATAAATAATTTTAAGAATAAATAGAGAGAAGTGAAGAAAGATCCTAGAAACTGAGAGAAACTGAGATATATGAGACTTTGCTTTATGAAAATAACGGGTAAAAAGTAGCATGTTAGTAAAAAATGTGCTGGGAAAAATACTTATAAAGAAAAAATAAGACTATGTTATTGGAGCTGCAGTGATAGTAAAGTAGATGATCACTTATGATCATTTTCAAGACACAAAATACAGTACTTGCAAGCTGTCATTCTGGGTTCAAGCCCTAGCACCCCAGTGGATCCCTCAAGTCACACCAGAAGTGATCCCTGAGCACAGAGCCAGGAGTCAGTCCTGATCATTGCTGAGTATGGCCAAAAATTAAAAATTTTACAACTAGGTTATTTTATTATAACACACAAAATACAAAAATAAAAAGCAAACAGATAACTAATGTAAAATGTGAAGAAAAACAACTGTACTAAAAAAATGTATTTGTAACAAATAATGATTTGGAACATAAAATATACCCCAAATTTGAAAATCAATGACAAAAATACAATTTAGTAGATAAGTAAAGGATATAAATAGAAGGACTAATTAGGGAAATATAAAAAATAAATCTCCAAGCCCCAAAATGGCAAAAATTTTAAATGTTTATGGAACAAGTTGATGTGATGTGAAAAAATAGAAATGAAAACATTACTATAGTCTAAACTAATACAACTACTTTATTTTTCATTGTTTTGCGGGGAGCCATACCCAGCTTTGTTCAGGGCTTACTGGTGGCAGGTTCAGTGGACCATATGTGGTGCCAGGGATCAAATCTGGGTCACCTGCATGCAAAGCAAGTGCCCTAACTATTGTAGTATCACTCCAGGCCTTGACACCACTGCTTTAGAAAGTAAAAATGTTTCAGTAAAAAGCATGCACACTGGTGTACCAAATAAAACAGGTAAAGAAAGTTTCACTGTCACTGTCCTCCCATTGTTCATCGATTTGCTCAAGCGGGCCCAGTAACATTGTGAGACTTGTTACTGTGTTTGGCATATCGAATACGTCACGGGGAGTTTGCCAGGCTTTGCCGTGCAGGCGAGATAATCTCGGTAGCTTGCCAGGCTCTCCGAGAGGGGCGGAGGAATTGAACTTGGGTCAGCCATGTTGGCTGCATGCAAGGCAACCGCCTTATCCGCTGTGCTATCGCTCCAGCCCAAGGAAGTTTGGTACAGCATTTTTTAAATAGTGGAAATCACCTAATTATACATAAATAGGAGTCCAAATAAGCCACAGTTTATTTATTACATGAGTTTAGATACATCTTCCAACAGGAAATCAAATTTGTGTTGTGGCTCAAGTGAACAAAATTTATTTTAGTCAAAATACATATTGAAGCCATCACATATAAAAAATAAAAATAAAACATTTGTCAGTAACAGGTACACATTTTACTGAAGCCCTTGCATTATGATCATTTTCAAGACACAAAATTAGAAGAGTGCTCCGCCTGCTCCCCCTTGGCTGCTCGGTGGCCGTCATCCTCCAGAGGCCATTGGACAGTCAGGTCTGGGTCCACAGTAACAAAACTTGTTGGGGCTCACAAGATGGGGGTGGAGCTGGGCCTGTCCTCCCCACCCCAAGAAGACCCCAAGTCATCGCCCATGAATGGCCTCTCTGGCTCCTGTTCAAGCTGCTCAACGGCCATTATCCCAGAGACTCAGGAGCAAATCTCGAAACCCAGTGGCTTTTGGCAGAAATCCCTCCAGATTTAAGTGTTAAAATTGCAGAATTTCGAAATCACATGGCCCAACTGCAGTCACACGACATCATATGTTATTCGTAACCAACAACAGAACACAAATTATCTACTGTTGCCTTTTCAGCAGATCTGAGTGTTGGGGTAAAATCTCAAATAATAATGGTGGGTCTGGTGTCAAAATATTGAATGTGATCAAAATAGAGAGAGTAATGTGGAAATCATCTGCCCCACAGGTAGGGGGAGGATGTGGGATGGGAGTATACTGGGGTTTTTGGTGGTGGAGAATGGGCACTGGTGAAGGTATGGGTGTTTCATTGTATGACTGAGACTTAGACCCAAAAGCTTTGTAACTGCTCTCACGGTGATTCAATAAACAAAATTATAAAAAATGAAAAGAAAAGTAAGGTGGAGTTCATACACAATTCAATCAACTAATCAGTGGCTGAATAAATAGCAGTACTCCTACATTTAAAAAAAATTAGAAGAGTGAATTAGAAGAGTGAAACTCTTTGTACTTATCTTATTGATCCAATAATTATCAGTAGTTAGCCAAGTGTTCATGTACATTTTAAAAATATGCTGAAGAAATGTGATTTACCCACCAAAGAACCTGGGACAAGAAGGAGAGCCAGATTCTAGAAGCGGCTCTATCACCACACAAGCAGTGTATGCACAATTATTTCCCCTATGTGGTCTTCCTTTGGAACTGAGAAGACTCCAAGTTCAACTAATAAAGTGTCTGTGGTAAGAGGAAATAAGCAGGATGCAACCTGACTTTCTAGGAAGAAAGACTAATGAAGAAATCTAAAAAAAATTAATAAAACACGGGGAAACCCCGCAGATCAGAAAGACTGAAACTATATTCCCTATTCCTATGTCTTATCAGTGGCTCTACAGGGATAGGGCTGCCTCCTCATATATATTCTTGGGGGAAAACACTAAAAGGCAGCTGCCTTTTTCCAGAAATCCATCTTTTCTTCTCCTTAAGTCTACTCTTCTTTAATACTGTAGTAACAAGTTGCTTCCTGAGGGCTCTCTTTGCTCCTACATCACCTATCTCGCTCCTGAGTGCCATTGGCACAAGGAAGGCCTAGATCTTGGTTCTAACTCCCAAGTTTCCCATATTCTGTAGAGCAGAAAGGCATTGGAAAAACTAGCAAAGGAGAATCTAATGGAGATGTTGGGAAAGGTGGACACCTACCTCTTGAAGCAGTGAGCGGCCGTAAGGACCCAGCAGCTACTCAGGAGCGTGGCCCCACAGAGAAGCCTCCCATCACCATGTGTGGACTTTAGTCGGAGGGACACCTGCCAAGGCCAACCGCCCCTAGGAAGAAAGTGGACCTCATGTCAACATCGGGAAAGGCAGGAGCACAAAGGAAAGCATCAGTATAGCAAGGACATGGGGACTTCAAGCTATAAAGTCCTTCCTGAGTGAGGAGGATTCCCCTCCATCTGAGCTAGCCACCCTACAGACCTGACATGGAGGCATCTGTGTGAGCCCCTTGCCCCTGCCCCTCCCCCATTGCCACCCCCACCATCACCATGTCGGGCATATTTGGAAACCAGTTAAGTCTTCTTTATAGTTCACAAATGAATTTTCTGTCTTCTGTCTCTCCATAGCAATCCGGAAAAGCATTTACTAAAGAAAACTGCTGGTACAGAAGCCATAGCACAGGACATTTGCTTTGCAGAAGGCTGGCCTGGGTTCAACCAGCATCCCATATGGTCCCCCAAACACTGTCAGGAATAATTCCTAAGTACAGAGCCAGAAGTCACCCTTGAGCATTGCTGAATGTGACCCATAAAGGAAAAAAGAAGCAAACTGCTAATTTTCTACAAGAAAATTTGACAATTACATAAAATATGTCAAGTCCAAAACAAATATATTCAGAATTAAAAAATGAACCTTCATAATTATACACTTTTTTTCAGACCTCCTACCAAATTTTCAGCAGCACACTTTTCAGAAGGTGGTTGGAAGGGTTTGAGAGAGAAGAACATGGACTATCTAAAGTAAGTATGGGTCCAAAGATGCTGAAATTATCAATGGAATCTATCTGCAATTTAGAAAGTAAAGTGAGTAAAATAGCTTTTTTATATAACAATATAGAACTCCATTATATAATCCTGTGCATTTATAAATAATTCTGGATTATGGAGATGTTTCTTCTGAAGGACCTTTACCTTAAGGAATTTTTCCCACCAATGATTCGCTTCTGCCGACGGTGTAGTAACCTCAGGCCACAGACAGAAGAGAGGGAGTCTGAAGCAGAAAAGGATCATTCATCAGACAAGCGTATGGGTGAAAGAGGATTCAGACACATCCCGTGCTGCCTCCTCCTGTATGTGAAAGTGCCTTTTGTCTCTGAATTACAGAATACTTTTTTCCCCTATAATAAAATTTAAAGCTATTTTCTCATTTGGGAGCCAAGAGTTAAGGCATTTGCCTTGTTCTTTCATTTAACCAAGGCAACAATTCTGTCAGCATAGGAGGAACTTTAGGAGGTTTTTACATTCAGCTCTGAATGGTTTCACAGGCTGCTTAACAGTTGACCTCAGCAGCCTAGTACATTCCCAGATGGAATTTTGGTCAGAATCGACATTGGTCATTAGTTTATGCTATTAGGAGTTACTTAGTCAAGTTCGATAGCAAACTATACGTAAGGGTATACAGGCAAACTTCCCAACATAACAGATTTCTGTCAAGAACAAAAGCAAAGAATTTAATTAATACATGAATAAAGTAGCATATTTGCAAAGTCCAGGAAAAAAGTGTTATACAAAAGAAGAATACAATAAAGTCTAGCTAGACTTTAAAATAATTTAGGAAATAATGCTATAGAGAAGTATTTATTTAGTTAAGAGAGAAATATTTATTTAGTTAAGAGATGTATAGAACTGTAGATATATTTGGTTTCATTATCTGTATAGTAAGAAAAGAGTGGGAACTATATGAAAATAAAATTATGAAAATTAAATGTACACAGCACTCTTAGTCTGCTGTAATAACCTGGCAGAAGTGGGTCCAACAGGAAATCAACACTTGTTATTTCCTGGTAGAGAGAGAGGTTCAATTATGTGTACCAGTCAATTAAACACATGATCTCAGAGGCATACTATCAAATTTTAACCCTTATCTTAGGAGATGAGTCATTAGGTGACACAAAAATGAAGTTATTAAAATGCTTATAAAAATAAATTATTAATAGTATTCCTAGTTAGGTCAATGAAGATGAACGCCAAGAAAAGAAAAGATAATACTGAACAGGCAACACTTAAGGTTTACATCATTGTAAGCTAAAATACCCAATGCCAATAGTAAAATCTACTTAAAGCCAAAACACTCAGTCATAAAGAAAGAAAAATTAAAAAGTGAAATGAAATCTATTTTAATAAGGACTCCATCAGATGACCAAGAGCGAATGGTTTAAGTTTGAACCACTTGATAAATGTCCTCAAATCTTAAACCTGAATGCAAAATCAATAGGTTAATAAACCAGACTCTCAGATTTAGCTGGTCTAAAAAAAATCTTTTTCTCTGAGGCATGTAAGCATTGGAAACATGGGGATGTTCTAAAATAAGTATGAATACCACTCAGGGAAGGCAAAAAACAATGTAGTAATGATGAAATAAATCTCTGGTGTTTCTTATTTACAGAAAAGTAGAATCTATCTGCAATTTAGAAAGTAAAGTGAGTAAAATAGCTTCTTTATATAACAATTCTTGAATTTTTATGTTTTCCATTGCTTAAGGAATTTTACATAATTCAAAGAGGGGATTATACCTGATTTTAAACTATACATTAAATTATTGGAAGAGGGTTGGCAGGATATTCCAGGGATTGTCTTATATGTGGTTGACTGGTTCACTCTCCAAGCACGGATCTAGGAGAGGTCACTGAGGACCATGGGGTGCAGCTGTTCCAAAAATTATTGAAAGAAACTTATAAATGAGTTCTAATAAATATTTAGGAAAATTTGGTTTAGAAATTATTTTAAATGTATAAAATTACATGTAATAACATGACATCTAACTATGTATTGAATATGACATAAGACGAAAACTAAAGTTTTGTTATAGATATTCTTTCTCTTCACTCAAAAAAATCCTTAGTGAAGACTGAACATGATAGCCACTCAATGCCTCTTCTGCAAACCACAGCACCCAAAAGGAGAGAGAGAACAAAAGGGAATGCCCTGCCACAGGGGTGGGGTGGGATAGGGGGGTGGGGGGTGGTAAGGATGCTGGGAGCATTGGAGGTTGGGAATGGGCACCAGTGGAGGGATAGGTACTCAATCACTGTATAACTGAAACCCAAGCACAAAAATTTGTAAGTCTACAACTGTACCTCATGGTGTTTCACTAATAAAAATTTTAAATATAACAAAAAAATCCTTAGTGAAGATTAATATTGAAAATACCTAATTTGAGTGCTGAAGTGATAGAACAACATAGGGTAAGGTCCTTGCCTTGCACGCAGCCTATCCAGCTTCAATGGTTGGCATCCCATATGGTCTCTTGAGCACCACCCGCTACGATTCCCGAGTGCAGAGCTAAGAGTATCCCCTGTGCATCACCAGATATGACCCATAAACAAAAGCCAAAGTAATAAAAACCAAAAAATATTGGTTTAGTATTATCTTTAACATTTTAAAGGCATTAGAAAACTGAATGCTGAAATATAAATGTACATGATAATAAGAAAATTCAATGTTTCAAAATTGCAAACTATCAGGCCAGAGAGATAGTACAGTGTATGGTAAGATGCTTCTTGCACACTGCCGACCGGAGTTCGACCCTGGTCAACCCACACAGTCCCCCATAAAAGCACCACCAGGAATGATTCCTGAGTGCAGAACTGGGAATTACCTCTGGGCAATACCAGGTGTAGCCCAAAGTTTTTTTAAAAATTAAAACTTTCCCTGTCATTGTCACTGTCCTCCCATTGTTCACTGATTTGCTCGAGCGGGCACCAGTAACGTCTCCATTGTGAGACTTGTTGTCACTGTTTTTGCCATATAGAATATGTCACGGGTAGCTTGCCAGGCTTTGCTGCTCGGGCTGAATACTCTCGGTAGCTTGCCAAGCTCTCCGATGGGGGCAAAAGAATCGTGAACTTTTAATTGACATTAGTAAGTGACTGTTCTCGTAAAATATAACTAAATTACTGGTTCTGGCTAAAGTCATAGTTCAGGGGGAAGGACACTTGCCTTGTACATGACCAATCTGTCTGTATCCAAAAAACAAACAAAACAAAAATAAAACTGCTAGTTCTTCCCTCATTCAAGACATTAGTTTCACAAAATTAAACACATAACTTTCAATTCTATTATGCTTACCCAAGTATAATACACCCATTATTGTGTTATACTAAAAGATTTCCTCATTTTCCTTACATTTTTTAACCTTGAAAATAATTTTTTGAAATTAATCTTAAAAATTTCTATTTAAAATATCACTAAGAATAGAAAAATCTCTGATCATTCAATTCATCTTTCATTTTCACTGCTTTTCTCTTTCCGTCTTTGGATGGGGACTCCTAGGCAGTGCTCAGGAAGCATACACTACTCCAGGCAATACTTGGCCAACTAGACCCATGGGTTCCACTAGGCCAAGTGATGCGGTACTGCTCATGCCGGCTGCATCAGGGTCAGTGAGGGGAACCCATGGTGCTCATGGCCTCCAGAGCTATGCATGGCATCCCAGGAGTACTTGCAAAGGACCACCGAGTTATCTCTTTGGTTCTCCTATAAGAAGTAAATGTCAAATTCTTTTTTATTTTACTGAATCACTGTGAGATAGTTCCAAGCTTTCATGTTTGGGTTACAATCACACAATGATCAAACACCAATCCCTCCACCAGAGCACATTCCCAATTTTGAATCTCCAATGATACCAGCTTTGCAAGTGTTATTACATCAAGGGAAGGAATTGTACAGAAATAACTTAGAATGCAAAAGGCAGATGATCGCAACTATTGTAAAGTCTGGTAAGACCAGTTAATATGTATGTATATGTGTGTATTTATTTACTTATTTGGGGGTTTTAGGTAATACTCAGCAGCGCTCGAGAACAATCCTGGGTCTGCGATCAGGAGTGATCCCTGATGGTGCTCCAGTAGACCATGTGGTGCTGTGGAACAAACCAGGGACAGCTGCCTGTGAGGCAAGTGCCTAAAGCTCTGGACTCTTTCCAGCCCTCAAAGCCCACTTTTGCTTTTATAAACCCAGCTCTCCTAGTCAACCCTTGTCACACTAGCTTGTCCAGAGCCAGTGGCTCTGACCACTAGCACAGGGAAGAAGGTTGAATGAATTTTTGTGAACGGAGAATGTTATTATCAAATTCCCAGTCATAGTAATGAAGTGTGGATTAGAGGTCTTTGACTGGCATGGTGTACCAGAAGATGGCTTACCTTTATTAATGCTACCCGATGCTTTCTTGCCAAAATAATCACAAATAACTCCTGCATCTTCACTGTGACGGCAGTTGTGTCTTCCAATATCTTGTTTGATGCAGTCAGCCAGGGACCTCTCATTTCCTGTGCATTTTACATTATCCACATGGATGGGCCCCTTTCCTTCCCCAAAATAAGCCATGGTTCTTGCTTTGGCAGGTCCCCTAGAAATAGCATTAAAGAGGATGTGGCAATCAATTATATATCTGAATAAATAACACGTACTCAAACTCAATTATATTTAACCTTTATATAATAAAATTAGCACTACTAAGAAACAAATAATTATTTATTGAACGTCAAAGAAACCTTAAGAAAGGTAAAAACCATATCTTCTTTGTTTTCATAATTCACAGTTTCTGTATTACACAAATGCCTCTAATTTCATTTCTGCTAAGAAAATCACATTTAATGGCTTGTCAAATAATCATAATAGCCTTAAACTCTCAAGCAAAAGAAAATTGTCTCAAAAAATTCTACCTCTTTACAGAGCATAATAATCTCATACAATTGATGTAAAATTGCCAAGAAAGTTATGAAATTCATAATTGCCTAGGGAGCTAAGAGCCAATTTTTTGCCTACTTTAGAAGTTAAAAGAAATAAAAAGAATTATTTCTAACAGTAAAAGAGCAAACCAGTAATCATGAATAGTAGGCAGACTTACTTTCACATATACATTTATATATATCACATTAGTGGGACAGAGCTTGTGTTAGAGCACAGGCCCTGCATATAGAAAACCTCATTTTGTTTTGCTTAGTATTTATATCACACCAAGCTATGCTCAGAGATACTCCTGGCTCTGTGGTCTGGGACCACTCCTGGCCAAATACTAGTTTTGATCCCCAACACTTAATGGCCTCCTATCCTCTAGCACTTCTGAGTCTGACTCCCCATAACCACAATACATTACTTAAAAAAACACTCAAATACTAAAGTATTTTAAAATACTTTAAACTGATACCATGTTCAAAACACATTTCAGACAAATTCATATATAATTGTGAGAGGAAAAGTTTTCAAGTTTGATGTATAAGAATATTATCCTATAACATCAAATTAGGAAGAGATTTTTTTTTCTTAGGAAGGGAGAGCAGGGAAACATCCAAGGGCAATTTACATGTAAAGCATGTGCTCTGCCAATATACTGCATCACTAGTCCAAATTAGGAAAAGATTTATTACTAAATATTTAGGGGCTGGAGCGATAGCACAGTGGTAGGGCATTTGCCTTGCACACAGCCAACATGGCCGACCCGAGTTCAATTCCTCCGCCCCTCTCAGAGAGCCCAGCAAGCTACCGAGTGTATCTCGCCCGCACAGCAAAGCCTGGCAAGCTCCCCGTGACGTATTCGATATGCCAAACACAGTAACAACAAAGACTCCAATGGAGACGTTACAGGGCCCGCTCGAGCAAATCGATGATCAACGGGAGGGCCTTTACCGTTACCTTTACTTTTATTTAGGGCAGTAAATCAAAACATGAAGCCACCATAGTAATTTTACAGTGGATAGGGTGCTTGCCATGCATGCGGCCAACCTGGGTTTAATCCCTGGCATCCCATATAGTCCTTCCCATGCACTGCCAGTAGTGATGGCTGAGTGCAGAGCCAGAAATAAGCCCTGAGCACCTCCGGATGTGGCTCAAAAAAAAATCAAGACATGAAATAAATATCTTAAATTAAGAGATAGATAATTTTTAAATCAATAACAAAGCCTTATTAAAAACAATCCCAGGAAAATAAAAGTAAGGATAAAAAGCTGATGAAAATATTTGCAATATTTGCAACAAATATTTGTTGGCAAATATATTTTTAAATAGAAGAGGAATAGCATATAATATACAAAGTGTTCTCAAAATTTTATTTTTCTCAAGGGAAAAATTGCTAACTTTCATTTGCCCCATTTAATAAATATTATCAATGTTTTTTAATTAATTATATGAATAGAAATCTTAAGTCTGGAGAGGGCTATTTGAGAATTTAATTTCTCGCTTGCTTTATCTCTCACACACAAATCATAGTAACATAAGGATTCTGTTAGGAAGGAAAATTTAAGATATAATCTCAAGGAGAAAAAGGAACTATTTACATTTCTGTAGGTCAAGAAAAGCTTTCTCATTTATTTTTAAATGAAAGAGGGCACGAAATCACTATATTTACTTCTATTGATTATGATTTTTAAGATGATGTAATGTTCTTTTTTTAAAATACTATATATAAATATACAGAAACTAAACTTACGCTGCTAGTTCTGTTTTATCAGATATCCTTACTTTACATTTGATCTTAGCCAAAAGGCCGAGAAGCAATCAGATATTCATGCTAATGTCAACATACATGCTTTCAACTCTCTAAAAACACTATGATCATATGCTAGACGTTGTCAGACATTATGCAAAACATTAAGTAATGCTTTGCACTGTCTGGCTGTTCACTCTAAGCATATCTGTACTGTTACGATTCACATTCTCTGGTTTCATTTCTGTTTCTTCCATTATGAAAATGATTTCTCTAGTGCTATTTTGAGTTTCAGTGTTTCCAAGGACTAATCCTTAAGTAAGATACAGCTGGCTGAGGAAAAAAAAATCGCTGGAACTTCTATTCATAAAGCTCAAGCCTTTTGACAGCTCAAAAAGTTTCTATGAGTTAATTTCTATATAGAGCAAGTGCTTATATTAAAGATTTGTAAGAATTCCAAGAACAAATACCATTCACTCTCTTATATGAAATCCCATTTCAAGACAGAGAGATAGTACAAGGGTTAGGACGCTTGTCTATATATAGCAAACCCTGGTTTAATTCCCATAACACATATCGACTCCTGAGCACTTCCAGGAGTCACTCTTGATCCAGAAACAGACCCTGAGCACTGCTGAAAGTACCAGACACTCCCAATTTTTAATTTTGCTTCGGGTCACACTAGGTGTAAGTTGTGCCTGAATGACGCCTTAGTGACACAACCTTTTCTCTGTAAGGAGTATCTCCACCTTCCTGAGTTCAGAAAGCCATTTAGTCACTTGCTTGGGGGGCCATTTTAAACAGAAAAGTCATCATCATCAATCATAATTTAAATAATAAAAATAACAGGCTACTGGAAAAAAGGCAACTGTTTGCAAATATGAAAACTAAAAGAAGGTAGCGAATCTTCTTGCATTGCTTGCTAATCCACTGTTACAGTGACTTTACAGAATATAAAGTACTGTGAACCAGGAAATTGAACAGTAACTTCCAGTGTCATCGAAGGCTATACAGTGCTGACAGAGCGACTCAGAGAGAACAAAGAGGCTCACACCTTGGACAGAAAGCAGAACATGAAAATCTAGGAATTAGACTCTCTAGTTATTAAATAAAGTCTCTCTTACTCTCGTGACATGTATATTCCTTGCATGATGACAGGAAAAAATGAACAGACTTATTTGTCTGAATCAAACCAGCATACTGCAAGTATTCATCACTGAATTTTGTAAATTAATTTCACTTGAAAAATAACTTATTAAGACAAGCCACCCCCACCACACCACCACCAAAAAACAACCAAAAACCCCAGAAATGTTCAAGTAACCTGTGCTTTCTTACTTGTAACCAAGCTGCCGACAGATGACAGCTGCATCTTTATCAGTCCAGCCATCATCACAGATTGTTCCCCACTGGCCATTGATAAACACCTCCACGCGGCCTTCTTTCTTATTTTCTCCATCCATCAGTCTGATTGGAAAACCTAAGTCATGATTGAAAAGTGTTAGAAAAGTCAAAACAAGTACACATGAGATATTTTATAGACTGTAATCTGCTATTAAATATTCTATAAAATCAGCTGGGCAATAAAAGAAAGAGAAGATGAGGAGGAGGGTAGAGAAAAGGAAGAGAGACAAAGGGAGAATGTAAAGGAAGAGAAGAGGGGGGGAGAGAAGAAGAAGAAGGGGAGGAGAGGCAAGGAGAGAAGAGAGGAGAGGAGGAGAAGGGAGGGAGGGAAAAGAAGAGGAGTGAAGGGGAGGAGAAGGTGGGAGGGAAGCTGAGAGGAGGGAAGGGGAGAGGAGAGGGGAAGACAGAGGGGGCGGAACAGGAAGGATTTTTATTCTATAAAACTAAGATTTTTAGGAAGGAAGGCATAAATGAACACAAATGTCATTAATTATTAAATGCTGGCAGAGGAAGAAAAAGAAGGCAATCAATAGGACAATTTCCATCTAAGACTTCCTATTTGTTACTGATTTCCAAAGAAGGGCATAAGTCATAAAAATTGCTATGATTTGAAAGTTGAGAAACTATTTACTAGCAAATTGAGGTTTATCTAAGCTGTGCTAATGAAGTAATTTCGGAACTTTTGTAATATCTTTCAACATTGATAATGAGGTGTTGTTTGATCCCAAACCCTCAATATGACTTTCTGTGTCATAAATAAAAGTCTGATGGCGGCCCTAATCCATTAGGAATGGTATATTTACCAAAAAAAAAGGAAAATGTGGGTGTAAAAAAATAGATGGAAGACAAGATAAAGAGAAACAGCTCCATAGCTAAGAGGCCAGCCGGGTATTCTTGGGGAAAGGACAGTTCAGATAGAGAAGGGAGCACCAAATGGAGGGTGTTTGGAGGATCCTCCCAGGAGGGGAGATGCAGGTTGAAAGTAGACTGGACTGAACATGTTTGCCACTCAGTGCCTCTTTTGCTGATCACAACACCCAAAAGGAGAGAGAAAACAAAATGAAATGCCCTGCCACAGTGTCAGGGGGGGATGGGGGGAATGGGGGGGGAGGGATATTATCCTTGGTGGTGGAAAATGGGCACTGGTGGAGGGATGGGTATTTGATCATGGTATGACCGAAATCCAAGCACAAAAATTTGTAAGTCGACAACTGTACCTCATGGTGTTTCACTAATAAAAATTAAAAAATAAATAAATAAATAAATAAAAAAGAGAAACAGGTTGAAGACAGACAACGACAAGCTACGGTGAGAAGCCTGGAAAGGATTCTTTCTTCATAGTCCTCAAAAGGAACTAATTCTATAAATACATTGATTCTGGACTCCTAGGCTCCAGCACTGTGAGACAACAATCCCCACTGTTTAAAACACTCAGCCTGTGGTATTTTGTAACAAGACCATGCAAGTGAATACGCATACTTTTGGTTACCTAATTATGAGCCGAGTCCCCAGCTTCAGGGCCCCATAAATTTACTGCTAAGGACAGAGAGAATACAAATGAAGTCTGATGACTAGGTCAAGTGGGTAGGCAGCTAATGAATAAAAGATCAATTCATAGGCTTAAGCCTATATTTAAAGTTACTTAAATTGGCATTTGCTGATTGGGGGGAAAATAGTACGTTTGGCAAAACACGCACAACCTTCTTGAATTCCTGGGGCAAGGGTGCTTCTTCCTTGTCTCCCCACAGTTGGTCCTGCCCTCTCTGCCTGTCATACTCACTCATGAGCGAGGAAGCACAGAATCAGTAGAGAGTCAATATCAACAGAAAATATCAGTCAGTATCAACAGGAGTGTTTATTGAGTGTCTGTTCTCTGCACTACCTACTGTTAGCTAGAATGAAATGAGGGAGGGGTGTAAAGTATCTCATAAAAGAGTACATCTGAAACTCCCCACTTATAATTAATGCATGTGACATTTGACGCTCTTTTGTAAGAATAATAAGGTGAAAAAGTGATCCTCAAAGAAAAAATAAAAACATGAAATTCTTAAGAGTTTTACTTTTGTATTTTGGGGTTTTTGTTCTAAAATCAAAGATGCACAGGCACATGGAATAAGATCTCCCAGTGGTTCTATAGGCAATATTCATGTAGCATCTAGATAATTGTGTTTAAAGCATTATTTGTATGTTTTATATAAGTAAAGTACACAGTAATTCTAAACCAAATTTTTATATTAATTTTGTGAAATAATTTTTTTCAATACTTTGAGCTAAAATGGGATGACAAACAAGTTTTTCTATTAATACATACCACTTCACTGTTTTGTGATGGCAGTAATAATATACATATTTTTTATTTCTACATCATATGCAAATATAAAATGCATGGTAAAACAAAGCTGTTTTATGGACATAGTTTTTTTTCACTTTTATGTGATTTATATCACTATTCCAAAAGCTTCTTCTCTGGGCTTCTCTTTTAAACATATGATCTTTTTTCGGCAAGTGGGAGAGTAATTATCTCTCAGGATGAAAAAATGGAAATATGATTCCATTCTCAAAGAAGATTTGACTCAGACATAATGTTCTACAGAAGAAAATTAATACTTAATAAGACACTACCAAAATTAGGACCAAAGAGATGTATAATAATGATCACATGTTTTATTAATAATGATCACTCTCAACTTTTTAATTAAAAAAAAGGTGTCAAGAACTTAAGATCTTCAGGGAAACTGAATAAATGAATTGTCCTAACTGCAGGGACATATTTAACCACCCACTCAGTATAGAACTCCAGATATAGGATTTAGTACACAGTATTTGATCCCTTGGAGTGCTGATGGAGAACATCTAAACTGTTCACTCTGATCCAAATGCCTGTTGTCTGGGGCTGAGAGGCTCTATTCTAGTTGGAGTTCCAACTCTTCCGACCTCATGCAGTCATACATCTTGTAATGTTGGGAGGAGCTTAAGTCCTCCATAAGAATAAAGCAATAAGAATACAAAGAAAAAGACACGAAAGTGAACAGATGAGCTATAAGGAATGGAGTGATGTTGTATTTCTACTTGGTAATGCTAGATTGATTCAGTGTATTTCCATGATGAAGAATCAACCATGCAGTCTGATAAAATGTAACATACATCTTATCAGAATAGAAATTACATGGTAAAATTCAGCAAGTTCATTTTAGAATGAGAAGACTAAGTCTGACAGTCTCAAAACAGGAGGGCAAGGAAGGAGTTCATTCAACCATAAAGTCAAAAGGTGAAAAGTTAAAATGCACAGATATTTTAATATCTATGCACAAAAAACATACAGGCACAGATATGAATACAATTATGGTAGCATTCTAAGTTTCTTGAATATCTCCATCTATGTTTTTCAGTCATAAGGAATCAGTCCCCTTTGTAAGATTCAAGTCAAGCAAGAATACGTGCTACTCTCTGCTCACAAGAGCATCTTTATCTAAGCCAGGGTGATAGTACTGTGGGCACGTGTATCTTGCATGAGGCTGACTTGGGTTCCATCTCTGATCTCTGGCATCCCATATGGTCCCCTGAGCCCCACTAGGAATAATTCCTGAATGCAGAGCCAGGAGTAGTCCCTGAGCATTTTCAGGTGTGGGCCCTCCCTCAAACCCCCCCAAAAGAGGATCTTTATCCTTAAATATTTCAAGATTGTTAGGTGAGCAAGTTACTTCATATCCAACTACCAGACCGAAGACACTAGAAAGTGGGGGATAATAAAGGTCCTTAATGGATTTCTAGATTAACCTAGTATCTTAAAATGATATGTGGAGTATTTAATCCAATGATTCCAATTATTCCATTGAGAAGCTTGGGATATTTACATTGGACAGAGCAGTAATTCATGAGAATTCAAAGCAAATAAAATCTAACCAAGCAGTAGAAGACTGGTCATCACAGCTTCTTTATTCCATCTTTCAGTCATAATTATGAACATTTTTACTGAGACATTTAGGCTTCAAGGTAAAGAAAATAACTCAGAATAGAAATGTGTAACAATGATGGGTTCAAAAGATTATTTTCCTCCAAATACCGGTTACAGAAAATTAGCTCATTTGCAGGAACATGATTTTTAAAAGGTAATAATGAGAAAGGCTTCAGTGGGTAGAGGGGAGGGATCTACTGAATTCAGAATGGTGGCCAGTCCTCACCCCATGAGAGCCTGTGTCCATCACTGCCAGGGAAGCAGGTGATACCAACGTCTTCCCCATGGCTGCAGTCATGCCTTCCCCACGGTTTCTTGGAGCACTGAAGGAAGCTGGTTTCCTTTCCAGAGCAGCTGACATCATCCAACCATATAGGTCCTGTGCTTTCTTGAAAGTGGTTTGCAGAAGCTTGCTTGCCATATCTGTGGCAAAAAAGTAAACATTATATGTAGAACATCTGTCTCTTGTTTCAAGGAAGAACAAAAATAACAATTCTGATGATTTCAGAGGCTAAGAATTTATTCTTCCTCATATCATGAGCAATCAGTTCTAACAGGAGTGTTTGCTAAATCACACACCTGGATCATGGTAACAATTTCTTACTGATTCAATGGGCCACTAAAATGAATCCCTCCTCTCTGGTCAGTCTTGTGTTTTGTCTACAAATTAACTCACTAACCAGAGTGTGTGGAAAGAGGTAAACCACAAATTTCTGATCATGAAATCTGAGAAGATGAGAATTTTCTTGATGAACTAGAAAGTGAAAATATTTAACCTGCATTGGCTCTGATGAGGTATCTGAGCTCATTTTATTTCACTGACTTTTCTAGGCCTCTTTGGGGTCATCTTATACCAAAATTAAAAGTTCATTAATTTCTCAAATACCACAGCTAAAGTGAGATAAAGCCTGGAAAGCCGCCCAATAAAATAAGAATAATGATATTCTATTTTATTTTTCAAAATCACTTAGACCTTTACCTTCTAAGACATTTTAGAATACTTAAGTTTTTATACATGTATTTACAAGAAATTAGATGATTTGTGAAAATTAAAATATGGAAATATAATGTTATTGTAATAATAAAATATGAAATAATAAATTATAGTATTTATACATTTTATGTATCTTTGAACCTGTGAAAACAGGATACAGTTCTTAGCCTGAGGATTTACTTGAATCTGAAGCGACATTTATTAAGTTACTCATGTTAATTAAATGATAGTATTTATTTAGTTGGTCTAAGACCAAAAGTTGTAATAATTGTACTGCCCATAAAAATTCAAAATACTAGGCAATGTGTGAATTTATATCTCCTTGATAATATTGCCACTAATAAAAAAGTTTAATCTAAATATTAAGTTATTTAGTAGAATATGCTATCATTAAAATTATTACTATGTCAGGATAAAAAATTTATGGGTATGTATGAATATAAGGACTAAAAGTTAGATATGGAAATTGTCTATTACTAGCAAGTATATAAAGTTATTCATTGAAGTTGCAATAATAATGGTATAAGAATGGAGGAATTATGAGTAGTTTTTAATTTTATTTTCCCCAAAATTCCTGTAATATTTTATATGACTTTTATAAATCTAAAATATATTTACATAGACATAGCTTGAATGAAAGTAAGTTTTATTAAAGTTTCATTAATTCAATTTTCCTTTATTTGCAATTCACTATCTCAAAAAATTGGAAAAGTAATAACTTTGCCAATTTTTTCAAGCATGAGTTGATTATTTTAAGCATAGCATGGCAATACGAAAAACAAAAAAGAATGGGTATTCATGACTTCATTCAAATATTAGCTCCAAGGCATCATTTGCAGTTTCTTCGACCAACTTAAGTCTTTATTCTGGAATGCATTATGTGTTTGACATGAAATATATTATCCAAAGTATGATACAGCTTTTAAGAGAGTTGGGTCAAGGGTGAGTTCTAAAGGTCACCTCCTAACAGAAGACTTTTTTTTCTCAAATAAAAGTGATACTTTGTCATCACATTTTTGAAGGAGAATAATATAATAGCAAAGCATTTGACAAAGGAATTCTCTGCAATTTTAGATCCGATGATGTCAGAACTAACAACAACCCAATAGCAGCAATATCAGAATGAAGTCAAGAAATCAATGCACACAATCTCACTTGAATACACGTAGTCACCCATGGCTCCAATAAGAAGAGTATCAGGGATTGGACAAGTAAACGAGAAAAGAGTAAGGCATGCCTATTCTTCACAGGAAATTATATTTTTTATTTTTTTTATTTGTGTAAGTATATAACTAAGTAGATAGCTAATAAAGAATGTATATTTTTAGTGTTATATAAACTTCAAGTAAAGATGACAAAATGAGACTTCAAAAACTAAAATTTGGCATTCAAATATTAGCTCCCGGGCATCATCTGTCTTAGTATCAATGGTTCTTACTTAAATCCCAGCTGTCGGCAAACCACATATGTATTCAGTTCAGTCCAGCCATCATCACAGACAGTCCCCCACTGACCCCTGTAATACACCTCCAGGAGACCCTCATGGCTGTTTTTTGCACCTGCTAGTCTGATGACCCCATCTGCAATAAGGAGACACATAAAATAAGCAAATTAGATCCCCAAACAGGCAAAACAATATTTCATTCCACTAGAAACATCACCACCCTATTCACGTCTCTCACTCAGTCTTTTGTTAAACTTACTTTATGACTGCTATGAGGTTACTAAAATCTTCTAACAAAATATTCTTTCATTTTTATTTGCACTCATATTCTCTGAGTAGAACAAGATTCTTATCTAACTCCAAAGTAGCTATTTTCAATTTCTCATGATTAAATAATAATTTTCTCTATCATTTATCTTTAATTTACTTAAATCTGAACAATAAAAGTCATTTAAATATTAAAAGTATCAAAATATAACTTGGGGAATAGTTCAACATTTTCATTGTGAATAAAAAATTGTTGAAATACATATAAAAAGCTATACTGTATAAAGAACAATCTATCATGTCAATGCAGTTATTATTCCTTAGGTATTCATAAATTATAAAAACTGGGGTATATATCTTGCCTAAATTTAATTGGTAATACAGACAAAATTTAAATCCTATGCCCTCCATGAATATTTAATTTCGAGAGAATCCTAAAAAGAGCCTCTTACATAAGACAAAAAATTTATTTCGAAAGGTAGATTTAAAAATCCATATCCATCCCAAATAATACAAACATCCCACAATTGTAATATGCATATATATCTTGAACAAGGATTTCCATGAATCTCTGGGGTCTTTATTTTGAAACAAATGATGGTCCCTTAATAACAGACTCCTGTTAATGCAATACTTCTCTGTCTCAAAGAAATGTTACAGATATTACCTCATTGGAACACTACACAATACTATTCTAAATTGGCAATAAGGGAATTGAAGCTTAAGAAAATAAAATTATGTGGCTTAAATATGGCATAAATCTACCTATTTCTAATGTATAAATTAATTTTGCTTATAAAAATACAAACATATGCACATATATACAACCAAGTGGGAAAAATAATATAACTTTAGTGCTTTGAAGGTCCTAAGAGCTTATTTTTTTATTTTTGTTAAAAAAATATATTAAAGCTTCAATTTTTTTCTTCAAGCTTTTTATTATAGAAGTCCTGTGTGTGTGATGGTTCAAATTCTCTTGCTAATCATTTCATTTAAAGAAAACACACAAACACACACAGACTACCTTGCACTCAGAAATACATGCCCTTCTTTTAAGATATATTTTGACAGTGAAATACAATCTGAAATGGGCTTGAAAGTGTGCTTAATTAATAATTCCATGTATCATTTTACAAGTCATAAACACATTTTTAGGGTCAGAACAGGTTCATAGATGAATGTACTAAAGGTATAATACCTAATATCTGAAGCTCAATATTACATACTGAGTTTCATTATTGGGTAATACCATTATATTTCAACAGCTGCATATGTTGTGGTCTACTTTTATAGGGCCTTATATCCTTAGGCTGAAAAGTTCAGATCATCTATAAATGAGAGAGCATTTTAGTATATAATGAGTGTTAGCTTTCATTTATAGTATCATTGTAGGTTACATTTGCTCATTTAGTAAAACTATCAAAATTGAAGAGAAAAGATAAGCCCAAAAGATGCTGGGTAAGAGTTGACAGATTAAGAGGAGGGAATCCTCACCTGTTAGAGGGGTGCAGGATACTCCAGCGTCTTCTTTATGGCCACAATTATGCTCTCCCCAGGAACTCTTTGGGCACTGTTCAATAGAAAGCTCATTCCCAGTGCAGCGAACTTCATCCAGCAGGACAGGGCCAGATCCTTCCCCAAAATATGCCTGACTCCAGGCTTTGGCAATGCCACTAAACAAATGAACATAATATAATAATCCTGAATTAGATACCAAAAATTGGTAAAGTTTATTTCCCTTGCCCCTGATAAAAGTACATTTCTAATAAATCCATAATTCTCCATGTCTATTTACTCTAAAGGTCATGCATGACTTGTTGTTTGCTTATTTTGTTGTTTCTTATATTTTCAGTCACCACAAATATTTCAGACTGCTGGTTATTCTTCAATTTAGTCTCCTCTTCTCATTAGTAATGAAACCTTGGGTTGTAAGAAGAAGAATGTCTATCTAACATAAAGTCTACATTTCCCAGGCTCCCCTCTTCCAGATGACTCATTGATTACTATAAAATAAACATAACATGAAATTTACCATTTTAGGTACAAAGTTTAGTGGCACTAAGTACATTCATACTGTTGCACAACTTTTACCACCTTCCAGTCTTGAACTTTTTCATTTTTCCCTACTGAAACTCGAGATGATTTTGTATCTATTCTTTTACTTCTGACTAACTTTACTCAGTATAATATCCTCAATTATATACACGTGAAACCATAATCAACAATATTGTAAATCACAGTACATCAATCAATTAGAAATGTTAACAAGATTAAAAAAAAAAGAAAAACAGGGGAATATGCTTCAATATTCAGAGCACAAAGAGAACTCTTAATTAAAATGTTTCAACCCAAAGCATCATTGTATACATATGCATGCTCAATTCAGTTTTCTAACATCTGGCTGCTTCCTTTCCTGTTCATCTTTCATCAAGTTCTGGGTTCATCAAATTTAAGTGTCTCACACACAGAAATTCCTTTTGCACTTAAGAAGCTTGCCAGCTACCCAAATCTACAGATAGCATTAAAAGATGAAGGTCTACAAAGCCGATAACTCATAGAGAAATTGTAACCACGACTCTAAGGAAGAATGAGGTAGTTTCCCTTTGGGAACTGAACAAAGCAAACAAGACTGGGATTAAATTTGCTTAGGAACAAATCATAAATTGAGACAAGCAGTTAATATGCTGTCTGCTATCAACCATGTGCCATAAAAATGATTTAATCTAAAAGTATTGTGCACTCAAGTGAGCAAAACAAATTCCAGAGGAAAAGCAGTTGCTCTAATGCAAATTCATGAAGGAATGTGAAGTGGAAACTATAAACTGAAGTGGAAGAAAGACAAATGAAAACAGTCAGCTCAGAAGACCAGCATAGTACAATAAAAACACTTCTCCACCAAGCTGGATTATTGTTTGCTGCATAGGCTGTGGTGGATCTTTGCAGTCGTATTTACTTAAAGATATATTTCCTCTTAATAACTCTTCCAAGTAGAAATTCTCTCTTTTTTTTTTGCTTTTTGGGTCACACCCAAGCGATATTCAGGGGTTACTCCTTGCTCTGCACTCAGGAATCACTTCTGATGGTGCTTGAAGGACCCATATGGGATGCCAGGGATTGAACCCCAGTCAGCCACATGCAAGGCAAAGGGTCTACCTACTGTACTATTGCTCCGGCCCCAATACAAATCCTCTCACACAAAAGAAGCAGAGTTCATTCTTAAGACATAAATACTTAAGTCACAGGGTGCGTTCAATTCTATTAGTTTTCCTAGTGATTCTATCTCTAAATTCATTCTCTCTTTTCCTCTCTCTGCATTATAAATGCCTGTTCTAATTTATTTGTTTTTCAGCCCTTTTTCCACTTTTGTTGTATAACAAAGGTGTCACTTTTATCTCACTGCAGTGCTCAAGCTGTGGTGTTTGCTGAAGTGTCACACTTCAGGTTGTAGAGCTTGCACACTCAGCCAAACGTTCACCAGAATTTTCACTCATTTAATTGTGATGCTTGCACACATGGGGTGTGTCACATCTCCACTGAGGAACACACAGTATGGATGTGGGCCATCCAGGGGTCCCTGTGCTAGGACACAAGTGCTAGCCAAAGGACATACTTCTAGGTCATGGAGCTGGAACAAACATTTTTAATTTGGGGACTCACTGGGGCTTGAACTCCTTTTTGTAATGCTTTGTAGTGCTCTGTCAGCACTGGAGATCGCAAACAACAGAGCTTCCAGAATCACATTCAGTGCACACGGGGTTTTGAACTTGTGATGATCCATTGATAGGAGCTCAGCCACAACTGTCCTAGCCACTGTGCTATTACAGCTGGGTCCTAGCTATAAGATTTCAATGCGATAGACTATTGTTTGTCAACATGGCCTCTGTGTAAGAATTGTTTCAGTCGGGATATGGTGCTACTAGCAGGTCAACCTGTACCTCTGGAACAAGTGCATCAGCAGCCTGATGGTGCCTTCAGACTTCCATATACCCCAAAATTGCCTCTGTGCCTTTTGCCAGACCCCAACAATTTGGGGTCAAGTTTACTGAGAAATTAAATGGCTCCCAAGATGTGGGAGCCACCCCACAAACCACCTTCCTCTCAGCTATACAAGCTAATTTGTTGGCCTTTTTATTTCAGAGACCCATAAATCTTGAAAGAGATCAAATGCTGCAGTTAGGGCTGCCCATGAGGCACAATGAGGGCAAAAGGGTGCACCCTGCAGGGCATATGCCAATAGTTTATTTCTCTGGAAAAGATGGATACAAGGGCCACGATCCAAAGACACACAAAAGAATCTCTGAACCAAGCAGCTCGCTGCAGAGATGCTCAGACTTTAAGGCAGGCTGATTTCATCAGGGTGCCTCAGACAGGGGCAGGCATTGTCCCTCTACCTGTCCCCTAAAATCCCTGGTGGCCACCAACTTCCAGATCCCAATGAGAAGTGCAGGTATGTGGGTCCAGTGACGGCAGCAAACTCCAGGCCTCAAGGGATAGAGGATGGGCCAGTCCTTCTCATCCCCCACCCCAGTTCCCATGGGATCCTGGAAATCATACCCACAAACTGCCTCTTGCTGCTCCTTGATCTCCTTACTGGTCATGATCCGGAGAGACACAAAGGAATCTCCAAACTGAGCAGCTTGCTGCAGAGATTTCTCCAGACCCTAATTATCTAAAATTTTGGAATTCCAGGAGTGCATGGCCATTCTTGCAGCCATGCAACACCTTATGCTATTCATAACAAGTGATACAAAAGAGAGTATGGTGGAGATGGGGTGGGATGGTGGGGGGAAACTGGTGACCTTGGTGGTGGAGGATGTGCACTGGTGGAGGGTTAGGTGATCGATCATTGTATAACTGAATCTCAAACAGGAAAGCTTTGTAACTGTATCTCATGGTGATTAAAAAATCATAAAAAAATAATAAAATTAACATTCTGGATAAAAATAAAAGGAATGTGGAGTTCATGCCCAATTCAATCAGCTTAATCAATGGTTGAATAAAGAGCAGTACTCCTACATTTAAAAAAAAGAATTTTTTCAGGAGCCAGAGTAATAGTATAGGAGGGAGGGTGTTTGCTTTGCACGTGGATGATCTGGGTTCAATCCCCGGCATCCCTTATGGTCTCCCAAGCATCACCAGGACTAATTCCTGAGTGCAGAGCTAGAAGTAACCCCTGAGCATCACTGATGTGACACAAAAAGGTAAAAGAAGAAAAGAATTGTTTCAGTGTAAACAATCCTCCTTGACTCTCAGAGAATTTTACATTACAAGACATTATTAGAGCCACTTCTATAACTGTAAATAACAGATATGTAACTAATCTTCACAATGCCTCATTTAAATTTTTATGCATTTTCCTAAGTAATAAAAGCCTGTCTTTCCTCCACAGAAATGTGCCATTTAAAATTCTACATGGATTAAACATAGACTAAACCATATTGTAATTGCTAATGTTAAATATGCTGTTAATATACTCTGAAAGTTCTTAGTATTTTGGGGAAAGGCATGTATTTCTTAGTAACTTGAATAAAAGTCCATTAGCATGCCATGGATCATATAATTGATACCCAGTAAATATACATATGCACACACTGGGGTATTTTTATATGTAAAATTTATAAGTATAGCTAATTAAATGATAATGGGAATAAGGAAACTAGGAGGCGGGTCATTCTCTGGAACTGGCTTCATCTAACACAACAGTGTCAATGAAACTGAAAATGACACTTCAGCCTGAAAGAGGTTGGAGGGGACGTAGCACCTAGAAGCACTTGAAGACCCTGGTCTAAAGTGCTTCACATGAACCCTCTCTCAAGGGTACTGTGGAAGCAAAGATGGGACTTCAGTATGATGAGGAATGAGATAATATGAAGAATGATTACCCATTATAGTGAGTGATTACCCATTACAGTAATTATAGCTGTGATAATGTAATCTGGCAATGTAGGAGATGTTTAAAATGTATAAAAAATGAATACTCAGAGCTAGAAGGGGTACAGGAGAAGCTCTCGCCTTGAATGTAGCTGTGGTGTCACAATCCTGGTCTGAATTCCCAGCACCACATACAATCCCCTGAAGACCATCGAGGGTCACTCCTGAGCACAGAGCCAGGAACAGCCTCTAAGAAACATCACTTGTGGCCCAAACTCCTTACCCCCCAAAAAATACTAAGGTAATTAGAAATAAAGTGTTAAAATATATACAGTTTACACTGAAAGACTTCAATATAATCTGTTTTGAAACAAAGGGGCAGTTACCAAAGCATAAGTATAATGATTCATGATACAAACAGGTTTTGTGCTTAAGTGGACGAAATGATACATGGACATAGAAGGTTTAATCTCCAGAGGTCACCCAACTTGGATCCCCTCTCCCCATTAAGTACCCATAAAAAATATTTTCTCAAATTTGAAGTAAAATATTGACCTGAGGATGTACTCAAGTGGCAGCAGCTCTGGTTTGATCCCTGACACCACATGGATTATCAACAGATATGCTCCCCACCCAATAAGAAGAAAATGAAGTAAAATATTTACTATTTAAAGATCTCCTAATATAATCAGAGAAATTTTTATGCTTGTCATACAAATGCTCAGAATTACCACAGAGAGTGATTAAAAGATCTGAAATGATAACATGCTATTCCAGAAAAAAAAATAATCACAATTGGAATAACATAAAAGGCTGGTGTTCCTATTGCTGTGTCTGTTGTACATGATTCATTTATCTTACCCTGGCTGGGACTTATTTCCCTTGTAGATCAATAAACATCCTTTGTTCTAAGGACATACCTAACAAATAAGGAAGTAAGGGATAAAAGTTGGAACAATCCTTGAAGGAAAGGGATTAAACTCCAGTCAAAGTTGACATGACATAGGGACAGAAGAAGCAAAGGAGCCTGGGCAGGTGGTTGGTGGTGGGGTGAGTAACTCAACATCAACACCATAAACATTAACACCATTGGAACCAGTTTACCTAAAACTGAAATTTAAATGAATCAAGAACTCGAGTTAAAGCCTAACAACTCCTTTCATCATATGCCTTTGATAAGTTACTATCAGCTGCCATTACCAGGAGCAATGCAAAGGCTACTGACAAAAAGCAGTAAAGGCTTAGTCAAATTCTTGAGGATATAAAATCAGTTGAATTCAGAAACAAACAGCCTACAGGGGTGTACACACATAAGCTCTCTCCAGGGAGCCTTCAACCTAGTCCAAAGATCACAAGGTGGCCTTTTTCCTATTTGTTCAAGGAAGTGCACAATTTAAACACACAGCACCTGCATTTGGTATAGAAATGACAGATTCCACACTTTACACAGAACAGAAGAAGAACAGAAATGAACCTGAGGCCCAGCTGCCTGCAGACCACCTCCGCATCTGCATCATCCCACTGGTCATCACACACAGTGCCCCAGTTACCAGCATGGTATAGCTCCACCCGGCCTTCATGCGCACTGCTCCCTCCAGTAAGGCGGATGATGGGAATGGCTGGGCCTGAGGAAAGAGGAATTAGAAACACATTAAGCCTACATCTTTCTACTCTGTGATAAGGTGAGGTACAACCTATTTCCTTGTCCTTTTGAGTAGCTCAATCATATTAATTGAGCCACATTGGTGATTTTGATATACTGATTCCTATCTCAAATCTATTGCAGCAATCACGAGCAATTAAAATACTCCAAATTGAATTGTGTTCATAAAAGTAGTTCTTAGGAGGAAGTAGTCTACTATTTTTTCCAACAACTTCAGAAACCAAACCGGACATATTCAGGGCTTCAGTTTGCAGCAAACACATTTGATTTTTATGACATTGTGGTGGTGATACTTTCTTTAAAATTCACAGTAACTTGTATAAGAGATAACGTGGAGTTATTAAGAATGGTAGTGTGTCTGTTACATGCTTGTTTTCATAACATAACTACATCTGTAGATTCAAGTTATAAGTTTGCATCTAACATATTTTAACAAATTGGTGGATATCATGACCAATACTGAGAATTCATTTGTATAGAATTAGCTTATATTCATTTCCTCAGAGAACAACCACCAAAGACTTCTCATTGCAACTTAAGTTTTTTAGTCTCCAACACCCTGCCCTAGCCTTTGTTAGAGTCTGAACTTCTACCTCTCCCTCTATTACCTAGACATCCAAAACCTCTGGTCTACACACTTGCTAAACCTTCTGTTTGGAATAATATCCCCACGAGCTTCACATAGCTACCCTCTTCTCATAATTCTGTTCTCAACTTGGAAACGTCCTTCCTTTTAAGAGGAGGCTTGTCCTGGCCCCATGAGCAAATACAGCACCCAAAGACACTTTCAATGCCATTACTGAATTTTGCATTGCCTCCAGAGTATTAATCTCAACTAAAGTCAGATCGACTGGATTACTCGTCCCAGCTGACTCCCTCCCTCTGATGAGAACTGGAGGTGAAGACAGTGCCTTTCCCTGTCTCTTGCATATCTCTGGTACCCAGAATGCAGAAAGTACACATTAAATATTTGTTGATGGATTGAATTTCAAGTGACAATGCAAAGCCTGCTAGGCTTCCCTGAATGAGGAATAATAATGAACAATATGCATTCATTCAATTCTGTTTAACAAATAGGAGGGTCTGCTGTGTACAAGGACATCCAGAGTAGAATTAGACAGACCCTTCCTCTCCCAAGCTCAATGCATACATACGTGGGTAAAATAAATAGAGAAGAAAATATAATGAAGACCCACCCAGCAGTGCTCCCAAAACAAGGGAGTCTGCTCACCACTGGGACAGGACATCTCTGAAGAAACTGGTCAAGGAGCACAGAAGGAACTTCAGGTGTCAGACCTGAAGGAAGTGCAGTTTAGGCAAAAAGAATAAAAATCTTGTGGCATCTATTACCAAATACCAATTGTTTGTCCTCATAAAGTATGTGACTGTCTTTAAGTGGTATTTTGATATTTATATTTATGTTCAAATGTTATAATTGAGTTCTTCAGCAGATTCAAGTTAGAGAATATTTACACGTACTCACATTCTAATATTTGCAATATAGTTTGCTTATATAAGTCAACAGGCACTTAAAATTTATAAAAAGACAAAAGTGGATTTAGAAAACATAATGTTCTCAATACTGCATATTAGCTTCTTATAACTGACTGAAGGTAAGAAACAAATTTGTATGTTATTATATTTATTTTTTTAAGAAGCCTGGGAAACAAAAAAATGCAAAAATATTTTGTTTGGGGGTCACACCTACCAGTAATCAGGAGTTACTCATAGCTCTGCAAACAGGAATTACTTCTGGGAGTGCTCATGGGCCCATATGGGATGCCAGGGATCAAACCCAGGTCAGCCACATGCAAGGCAAGTGCCCTGCAAAAGTATTTCTTAATGTATTTTCTCCTACCTCCCCTTAACCTACCATCATGTTAATGGTGGGGGAAAAAAAGAACAAAATTTTTTAAAAGGAAGTTCAAAATCACCTAGAAAATTGCCTAGAACCATAATGGCATATAATATTACATTTTTTAATGTTATGCATCATTTTAAAACATGTGGCCTTTTTTTTCTGGATGTCTAAATAATTAAGAAAATATGGGAAAGTGCAGGTCAAATTTAAGTCAACATCCCACATCCTCTCAACGAATACACACAAAAAAGTCAATTGAAAGAGAATATAGTGAAATGGCTGATGCCTGTTTATCGTATGGATAAATAAAACTCCCAGACGTTTTCACTTACATTGTTATTTCCTATAGGTAGTACTTATACAAGATCTCCTATTGTGTGAGTGTTGGAGAAGCAATAAGTACTAGATGACAAAACATTAGTTTCCAAACCAAAAGAACATATTAAAAGCCTATCACTGTGCCTTGAGTTTACGGCTTTCTGATTTGATTTGTTTTCAAATTCTTATTTAATCTGCTAAAAAAGAATCTGTTTTTATTCTCATTTCTACGTCTGGGAAGATAGTTCAACTGGCTGGGGCACATGCTTTGCATGTTGGAATCTGGTTTCGATCCCTGGCATCACATGGTTCCTTGTATTCCCTACAGCACTGAGAGCAGGAGTGTAGACCCTTAGGATGATCAGGTGTGATTCAAAAACCATCCCTCCTCCAAGAAAAGGATGTGAACCACTTATGGTTCAAATTTATCACAATCTCCTAGATTCTATACATGACCCTGAATTTATCTTTGCAACCAGATCTTAAACTAGTAGATTACAGAGAAAAGAAGTTAACAAAAAATAGATATCCTATTTATTTACAATGTGTAGGGTGTTTGCCTTGCACACAGCCAACCCAAATTTGATCCCATGTACCCCATATGATCCCCAGCCCACCAAAAGTGATCCCTGAGCACAGAGATGAGAGTAAGACCTGAGCACCGCCATGTGTAACCTAAAAACAAACAAGATATCCTAAAGTTGAAAATAATTATTATTTTCAGTATCTTGCATAACTATTAAAAATGTTTAATATTTAATTTAATCAGGTTGAGCACAGAATAGAAGCAGATATTTACAAAAAGAAGGGCATTGTTACACCAAATTCATATCACCCTTAGGAAAGTATCAATAAACATGCACTCAGCAAGAACAGCATTATCCAAAGGTCGACAATCAAAGAAAGCAAAGGAAAAACTTAGAAATCATCGAGGTGTAGCATGCACCCCACCCACCCTAAAAGGACTGCAGGTCTTTCATGTCTGGACAATGATTTCCCACTGAATCTTCCAGCTTTGCTCAGGGATGACTCTAATTGGGGTCTTTGGATTTTGTACTAGTAGCTTTTTTATTCCTCCCAAGACTTGCACTCAAACAGTAAGCAGTGCCCTGCACTAGCTGCTAGCATTCCAAGGTCCAGCGCATCAATTTATGTTGCTGTCTTCAAGGAAAATGCAAAATGAAGTACTGATTTACAAAGTTCACTGACACATAAAAATATGATGCATTTCTGAATTTTGTAAGCTAAAAGAAAACAGGAGAAAAGTAATCAATAATTAATTTTTTAAAAAATTCGTAATGATCCCCTGAATACTTAAACATATACACATTTGTATTTTGGAATTATACTGCTAATTACCTCACGCCTAGTATATACTCCTAGGAAGGTGCCCTGAGCAATCCAATTTTATGAGAGGTGTTATCTACAACATGAAGGAGGACACTGGTACAATGATTATACTCCAGCCTATAAAATAAAAAATATTGTGTTGCTGTTGCTGTATTTTATACTTGGTCTTGATGATTTTCCATCTGGATTTCATCATGATTCACCATTACCAAAATAAATGTTTCATTATAGTATATAATATTTTTGTAAGCAAATTTAGTGGAACAGAAAATATTAAATGTGAAACAGTTTGAAAATCATCTGGAATTCAAACTGTTAGACATACTCCTATTGAAGACTATTTAATCAGACCCTAGAAAATGATTCAGACTTATGTTTGTAGTTAAGCCCTACCAGGAAATGAGTTAAGTAAGACTATCATCTGGGATCATGTTGAAAGCGCAATGCAAATCAAACAAAAGAATAAACATTTTCTTTTACCATGGGAAAAGCTACATGTGATAGCAGCTACCATCTTCTGTAGACCCCACCCTGCCAGATGTCTTTTTCACACAGCAGTATATTTTCTTCATCTCCTCGGCAACGGACACTGCTCCAGTAAAGAGGAATAAGGCCCACTACAGAAAACGAGGTTTGTTTTGCTATGCCATTCTCTCTGGAAGCACACTGATCAATGTTTGGTATCCATATTTAGCAAGTGTATCCAAATTTATTTTATCAAAGTTGAAATATAGAAGAAATTACAAAAAGATGCATGTGAAAAAATACAAAAACAACAGATTAAAGAAGTCTAAAAGAAATCAAGACATCAGATCAGATCCTGAGTTGACTACCTACGGCCATAGATCTTGAATCAACCTGAATATTTATTAGCATGCATCTCTCCATATATGCATAGTTTATCTATGACTATTTTAGAAGAAAATGGACGAGTGGTGCAGTTTCAAGGCAGGAGGCTGGAACCTCTGTGGAAAAAGTGCATCATGTGGGCTCAGTGAAATTGAGATTCTAATCTGGACTCAACTCAAAGCTCAAGAGTCTCCAAGGAGAAGTCTGGATGCTGGAGGATTCTTTTCTGTTCCAAACTCCTAGGACAGCACTTTCAAAATTATTATTGCTAACACATCTAAGCAAGAGAGTTTCAAGAAAGGTGATCCATCCCCAAGTTTTATAAACTTAACCTTTAAAAGAATAAATACCTGATTATCATGGTAATATCTAGTATTGTTTCTATGTAGCCACTTCTAAAATCTAAAGAGTAGATATTTAAGGTATGTAAATCTGAAGGAATAGATGAATGTTTCTTGACAGGAATGAAAGTGGGTTGCTCTGTTCTTACTGTGCAATTCTCGTGTGTGTGTGTGTGTGTGTGTGTGTGTGTGTGTGTGTGTGTGTTTTAAAGAACTAGTAAGAGATAATATAAGCAATAGATC